AAATTACCAAAAGGAAACAAAGGTCGAATTCTAAGTCATCCAAATAGAACAGAACACAAAGACATTATACAATGTGTTCCCTTCCACCCACCGTGCCTTTCACTAGTGAGAACGCCAACTGCTCTCTTTAGAGTGAAGAATGGGCCTCGTGTCACACTGAGTGGAGAAGCTGCTGGATGTGGCCCTGGAACGTGCACTAGTATATACCCCTCACCCTTCACTGACCCTGGCTGCATCTCCTGCTGAAACTCTCTCTTCCTCCTCTCTCAAATCCTCTTCATACAGGAATGGGTATGAAGTGAGTTCTCTTCCACTGATCTTGGTCACGTACTCCAAGACTTTCTTCTTGCTGGTTTCAGCATGGGCCCTTGGACCCCACAGGAACTCATAGCATGCAGGATCACTTCTGGGCACCTGCCAGTACTCCAGGTAATTTTCCTGCACCCAATCCTGGGTGAGCAGCTTCCTGGGCTCCCCATAGATGAAGTGCTCCCACCCAGCATACATCTCTATCACATTCAGGGCTTCCCACATAACCTCCTCTGGGCACAGTTGCCCTCCATGTAGATCACACACAGGACAATTATTAGGAGGTCCGTCTTGGGCTTGCTCAGGTCATCAACCAGCATGCCATCATAGGAGAGGCCCAGGGAGGTGACAAGGACATAGGAATGACCGGGGAGGACCACTCCCTTCACGTCATTGCCAAAGATCAGCTGCATGTACTCGGAGGATTCCTTGAAAATGAAAGGAAAGTAGTCTTTGTAATTTTTGATGACACTACCCACCATTTCTGGCTTTGTGATTGACTCCTTAATTTGAAACTTGTGGAGCAGGACACTAACTAAATCAGACACCTTGTCAGAGTGCTTCTCGGAGCAAGGACTCCATGACACTTGGGTTGGGCAAGGTGATTGGCTCCTTCTTTTCTTGGTTGCTGGAGCCCTCATCAGATTGGTTCCATAGAGTGTTATCGATGGTAGTGGGGGAGGAGGAGGCTCCCTGCATACTCTGGGGAGGACTCAGTGCCCCAGGAGCACACAACTCCAGGGTGCCCATGGTCAGACTAGAGGAAGAAGAGGCAGCCTCCTCCTCCTCAGGCACAGGATCCTGCCCACCCACCAGGCCAGGGGTCTCTCCTTGGGCCTCACGGCCTTCCTCAGGCATGTAGTGCTGACTCCTCTGCCCAAGAGGCATGATGACTCTGGTCAGGGCAGCAGACGGGAGTGTGGGCAGGAGCTGGGTAATGGGGATCCACAGGTCTGGGAAGAGAGGGAGCGTGTGAGAGACCTCAGCTAAGAACCAAACCTTGGAGGCTCTAACAAATGCCTATTTATGGATTTTCTCCTTCAGTGCTCCTCTAGGGCCTCCTTGGGTTCCTGTCCTCCTGGTCAGCCGGTCCCCTGAGAATCTGAAGAGAAGTGAGACAGCTCCTGAGGTTACAGCCAGCCAGCAGAGGCCAAGGCTCCAACACTGATGGTAGGGCCGGTGGGGCTGGGCGCTGTGGAGTCCCATCCATTATGGGTGGGTGGGACCCTTGGTATACATTCAGGGTAAACACCTCAACTTGACTGCTGACACTGCCTGGGTCTCCTCTGCTCTGTGACTTGAGGACACTGACTCAGACTAAAGCCTCACCTCCAAGTTCCTGGAGCTCCTAGAAGAGGAATCAAGGGGCCCTCAGGGTGCAGGCTGCAAGCACTGCCTCAGTCCCCCAGCACTGTCAGGAGGGTGGGCTGGACTCTGTCAGTTCCCCCACTCATTTGCATAGATGGTCCCTTCTATGCTCACCCAGGGCCTTCACATTTCTCCTAGCAGGGCCTGAATCCTGCCCCTTTGCTGGCCTGAGAAAATCTCAGATCAAGAGCTCATATCCCTGATATGGAACAGAAGGGCATGAGGGGACCCACATCTGGCCACACCTGCTCAAGGCTTCACAGCAAGGACAGTAAGAGGTGGCCATATTCAGGTGGGTCCGTATGTCCTGAGATGAGGAACCTGTTTGGTCCACATCTTGATGCCTGCAGATCCCGGGACTCTTCCTGTTGACCTGAGGCCACCACCTTAAGTCAAAGCCCTATCTCCAAGATACACCAGTAAAGGAAGTGAGGGGATTCCATCCACCCACTGTTCCCTGCAGTTTCCCATGCCTGACAGAAAAGGCAGGGCAGGGCTGGGTCATTTGCATTCTCTGTGTGGGGTCCACTTAGTCCTCAGCTTGACTGCTGGCTGAGCCTGGGACCCTCCCTCTGACCTAAATGCAGCCCCTCCAACCAAGGCCTCCCCCTCCCTGAGACCACTGATCCTGGTATAAGAGAGGAGGCCTCAACTGACAGGTCTGACCATGCTCTCTGGGGGAACAACAGGGGCAAGGCAGATTTCTGTGGGGCCTCCATCTGCCTTCTGGTCCAGGGGTACCCTTCATCCTCCCTCAGGTTCCTCACCTAGGGTCTTAGCAGATCCTGGGTCCACTCTGTCTGTCAATCAGATGGGGGTCCCTGTGTTGGCCTGAGTAACCCACTGAGACCAAGGTCCTCACTTCCCTGAGATCCCAAAGCCGAAGTGAGGAGGACTCACATCCCATCAACCTTCCATGGGGTGTTCAGGGCTGACACCAGGGGCTGCCCCCTTTTGTTCTATAGGGTGGAAGTTCCAAAGTCCTCCTGTGGGTTATTCATCTTTACTCCTGCCGGGACCTGCCGGTCCTCAACCCTCAGCCCCGTGAGGTGAGCAGACATCTCCCCTTTACACATCTCCCTGAGGGTTCTCTAACTTCCTGCCCATGGCACAAGTGAGATTGCCACTTAGGGCTACCGTGGATCAGGTCCCCCCAGAGCCAAGAACAAGGACAGCAGACTCTGCGGGGTCTCTTCTTTCTGGGATGGGGGTACCTCCAGTCCTCATGAAAGGTGCACACCTTGGGTCCTGCAGATCCTTGGACTCCTCCCTCTGCTGACCTGGTGTGGCTCCCTCTACTGGCCTGTCAGTGTCACTGGGACCAAGGTCCTCACCTCCCTGAGACCTCCCGCCTCCAACCACATGGCAGAAATAAAGGCATGCCACATGCCATCCCTGCCTGGGGCCTCCCAGGGCTGAGAACAGGGGAAGCTGGGCGGCTCTGCAAGTTCCCTTCTTCTTTATGATGTGGAGGTAACTTCTTATCTTCAGTCCTTACCAAACTTCCTCCCAATCACTCCTGGAAGACCCTGGACTCTACCCTGTGCTGACCAGGTGTGGCTACCTCTGCTGAGCTGAGGACGCCCCTCAGACCAAGGCCCCACCTCACTGAGACCTGGGAGGTAGAGGTGAGAGGGCACCACACCGTCACCCCTGCGTGGGATTCCCAAAGCTGACAGAAGGTGCAGGTTCGGGGGCCTCCACTGTCTGGGTGTCTTCCAGGTATTCAGATTGAATCCCGACAGGGCCCCGCTCTTTCCCTTCTGCTGAACTGTATGCCAAGGCCACCATGTTCCTGATACCCTCAGGGAGAAAGTGGTGGGACAGCATCCCTTCCCCACAGTCCTGCCGAGGCCTCCCAGGACTGACAGTAGGGGCAGGTTTCCTAAGTCTGGGAAGAAAGGTCTTCTGAGTCATCCTTCAGAGCTCTGGAACTCCTCTCTCTGCTGACCTGAGGCCCCACTCTCCAAACCACAGCCCTCTCCTCCCTGACACCCCAAAGGCACAGCGAGTTCAGGCCACATGTGGCCACTGTGCCTGGGACCTCCCAGGGTCGAGGTCCCCACTGATTTGGACTGCAAGTTCCCGTCAGTCCTCCCTCTTCTTCCTGCCCTTGACTCCTGGCAGGCTTGGGCCCACCCCAGCCTGCTGAGCTGAGTCTTCATCCCTCAGATTCCCAAGGCCAAATGAGGAGGCACCTCAGTCTCAAACAGGGGGAGGGTGGGCCCCCTGTCCTGAGGTCCTGGGTGCCCTCAGGCCTCTCTCAGGTCTCCCTTGTCTCCCAGCAGGGCCTGGGCCCTCCCTCTGCTCCCCACGAGCCGTGCTCATGACATGAAGCCCCTTCCCTCCGTCAGCCCTGGATTCAGATGCCAGGATCCACATGCCTGGCCACCATGCCCGGAAATTCCCAGGGGTGACAGCAAGGACAGAGCCCCGCTCTGTGGAGCCCTCAACCCTCTCTGAGGGTCCTGAATGTGATGGCTGGCAGAGCCTGGCTGCTGCCCTCTCCTAGGCAGCCCTGCCCTGGTCACACCAACCTGTGACTCCAGAGTCCCCTGAGGTTTAAGTGGCAGAGAGCTGGGGGAGGCCCAGCCTGAGAAGTCCGCCCCCGGGGTGGTCCTGGGTTGGCAGCAGTGCTGGTGCTGGATTATTTAGGATCCTCTATCTTGGCTTGCAACGTGGCGTCCCGAGTTCTCCCTCAGCGCCTCACCTTTCCTTCACACAAAGCCTGGGCCCGCTTTCCTCCGCCGCTCTTAGGCCGCCCCTCAAAACCAGGCCCTTGCTTCCCTCTGATCCCTGAGGCGCAAATCAGTGGCGTCACATCCGGGCATCTGGGGCTTTCCTGCGTTGACAGCAGGGGCAAAACCTGATTCTGTCGGGGTGGGAATGGGAATGGGAATGGAGGAGGGGTGGGGGCGAGGATGGGGGTGATGATGGGGATAGGGGTGGGGATCCTGAGGCTGTAGGTCCTGGCGGTGACGGTGGGCCTGGCGATGAGGAGGGCCCTCAGTCGTTCCTCAGGGTCCTCACCTTGAAGCCTGGCAGAACCTGGGCCCTACCCTCTCCTAACCACCCCTGCTTTGGTCACACCAAGCTCTGACTCCAGAGTCCCCTGTGGCATAAGCGGCAGGGGTTGGCAGGGTGCCGGGGGGTGACCCAGACTGAGAAGCACGCCCCCAGGTGGTGCAGGGCTGGCAGCAGGGGCGACGCTGAATGATTTGGGGCCCTCTATCTGAGGTGGAGGCGTCCTCAGTCCTCCCTCAGCCTCTCACCTTGCCTCCTCACAGAGCCTGGGTCCACTTCCCTCTGCCGATCTCAAGCCGCCCTCAGACCGAGACCCTCGCTTCTCTGACCCCTAGGCGTCGCAGCCGGCCACCAAGCCTGGGGCTTCCTCGGGTTGACTGCAGGTGTTGTACCGGATTCTGCTATGAGTGGGGGTGGAAATGGGGGTGGGGGTCGTGAGGGTGGAGGTGGGGGTCGAGGTCAAGGGGGTGCGGACTCTCAGTCATCCTCAGGGTCCTGACCTTGATGCCTGGCAGAGCCTGGATCCCATCCTGTGCGGATGGTGTCTGCTCCCCTCAGACCAAAGCACTGACTCCAAGTCCCCTGAGGTGGCAGTGGAGGGAGGGATATGGTCGGGGCGACAGCATTGCCAGGGTCTTCCAAGGCTGACAGGAGGGGCTGAACTGGATTCTGTGGCCCCTCTATGTGGGGTGAGTGGACCCCCAATCCTCACTCAGGAGGGCCCTCCTCCTGGCTCCTGACTCTTTGATGAAGTGATGGGTGGAGGATGCTCAGTTTCTGTCACCTCTGAGTATTTGCCCAGCTGTACCCCTTGCAGAGAATGGCTGCGGGTCCCAGGCCAGGTGCTCCCTGGGGAGCTGCAGCACCTGTGATTGTAGTGACCTCTGAGAGAAGATAGACACCTTCCCACGGGGGCTCCTCCCCAGCCAGAAGTTGACTTGTCAAACCTTTTGTCCTAAAGGGTTTATTTTTACACTGAAGAGGCTGAGCAGCAGCAAGAGAATTGAGGAGTCCTGCATTTTGAATTTATCTGACATTTCATTATACAGTTTAGTGACTTGCATATTTTAATCCGCATTCATACAGTGAGAAATAAATTTTACATTTCTGCTAATTGTATGTGTACACTATATGTCATATATGTAGACTACGCTTATGTTTAGATACATAAACTCCTATGTATGTATATATGTCTATTATATATGAATTTTATGTATTCACATGTATATATCTTTACAGATAAATGTGTAAATATATATTACATATACTTATTTTATTAAACAATATCTACTCATACTATGTATGATTCACTCACGCTATTCCATTTCTAGTTCATTCTTTATATTCTATTTAAATTATATTTTTGGAGGGCCAGGCCTCACCTACTAAGATGGTTTCAAGTGGGTATTAACAGAACTCTGGAGCCATCGTGTCTCAATCACACCAAGATTCCTGGTGTCCTGATATTACCCCAGGGCTACTGGCATCACATTGTGAGATGCTGCCTCATATTAGGCAATAATAATGGGGTGGGAGTTTAAAATTTTTTTCTACCCATTCCGTAGTGTGCTGTCAGCACAGGCTACAGACCTCCCCAACTTCTCTGCCACTACCGCATGCCCCAAACACAAGTACCAGTTCAAGAAAGTCTTAGTCTCCCCAGGGATTTCTCTGTTTTGTTGTTTAGATTTTATTGCTAATACTTTTTTTTTTTTTCTTTTTCCATTGTATAGTTTTTCAGAATTGATTTTAGGAACAGAACACAGCAGCCTGAACTTGATTGTTATTTTGACAGCTACAGGTAAGGCACTAGATCTGTACATAATTTAAGCAGAATTGACATCCTTGCAATATTCTGTTTTCCATCAACGAATATGGGATACTCCTCCATTTACTTGGAAATTTTTTTCCAGGATCTATCAGTAAACTTGTACAGTTGCCTCCGTTAATATCTCATATATTTTTGTTAGGCTTCTGTTTAATTTTGGATTTTATTGCTTTTTTGAATGCTATATTTTCTGTTTTATATGTTCTAAGTTGCTTTTGTGTGGCAATCCTCTTGATTTTGCTATAGTGATCTACCATTTGCTGTTTTCTGAATCCTCTTAATTATTTGAATATTCCATGTGTCTTTTCCTTTGAATTTTCTTGATCGATAATCATATTCTCAACAAATACTGTGTTTCTTTTCAATCTTCATACCTCTTTTTCATTTTGATATCCATAGCTCTGACTCTTTTGCATTTTTGTTACCCACTGCAGCTATGGACGGTAGCCATGACAGCATATGTCAGTGACTTGTGCCTGACATGAATGTGAATGCTTCTTCTAACAGTTCGTATTTAAATATGGTTGCTGCCAATTTTAGGAAATGGAAGTTCCTCTTCATCTTAGTTTGCTAAAAGTTGTTAATTTGAAATCGCATAGTATTTCTTTCAGAGGCTTTTTCTGTACTCATCGAAATGACCAAATGTTTTTCTACTGTATCTTGTATGTACATAATTACAATTGAATTTCTTTCTAATGTTAAAAATACTTTTGGCTTGCAGGCAGAACAAGATGGCCAAACAGAAGCCTCCACCAATTGTCCTCCCTGCAGGAAGATCAAATTGAACAACTGTCCACACAAAGAACATTTTAATGAGAATGAAAAATCAGGTGAGTGATCATAGTACCTGGTTTTAACTTCATACCAATGAAAGGGGCACTGAAGAGGGTAGCAAAGACAGTCTTGAATTGCTAACACCACCCCTACCCCATCTCCCAGCAGTGGCTGTGTGGCACAGAAAGAGAATCTCTGTGTTTAAGGGAGAGAGAGGGCAGTGATTGTGGGACTTTGTGTTGGAACTGACTACTGCCCTGTCACAGCAGAAAGCAACACCAGGCATAAATCAGCCAGTACCCACAGAGGGAGCATTTGGACAAGCCCTAACCAGCGGTCAGAACCTGAGTTCCTCAAGCCTCGTCACTGTGGGCTAAAATGGTCCGTGGTGCTAAATGAAAGGCAGTCTAGGCCACAAGGATTACAATTCTTGAGCAAGTCCTGGTGCTGGGCTAAGCTCAGAGCCAGTGGACTTGGGGGGCATGTAACCTAGTGAGACAACAACCGGGGTGGCCAAGCGGGTGCTCGCACCACCTCTCCCCCAGCCGCAGGCAGTACAGCTTGCAGGTACAGGAAACTCAAGAGAGGAGAGGGAAGAGTAAAGAGGACTTTCCCTTGCAACTTGGATACTAGTTCAGCCACAGCGGGATAGGGCACCAGGCAGAGTCCTGAGGAGCCCATTCCAGACCCTAGCTAACAGATGACATTTCTAGACACCTCTTGAGCTAGAAGGGAACCCACTGCCTTGAAGCAAAGGAACCAGTCCTGACAGGATTCATCACCCGCTGACTAAATATCCCTTGGGCCTTGAATGGTCAGCAGGGGTACCCAGACAGTATTTGCTATGGACCTTGGGTGACACTCAGAGATGTGCTGGCTTCAGGTGTGACCCAGCAATTTCCCAGCTGTGGTGGCTACAGGGAGAGACTCTTTCTGCTTGAGAAAAGCAGAGAGAAGAGTAAAGGGGATTTTATATTGCAGCTTAGGTACCATGACCAAGTGGGATTTATCGCAGGGATGCCAGTATGATTCAACATACACAAATCAATCAATGTGATACATCATGTCAACAGAATGAAGGACAAAAACCATATGATCATTTCAATTGATACTGAAAAAGCATTCAATAAAACGTAACATCTTTCATGATAAAATCCCTCAAAAAACTGAGTATAGAAGGAACGTACCTCAATACAATAAAAGCCATATATGACAGATGCACAGCTAGTATCAGACTGAATGGGGAAAAACTGAAAGTTTTTCCTCTAAGCTCTGGAATATGACAAGGATGCCCACTTTCATAATTTTTATTTAACATAGTACTGGAATTCCTAGCTATTGCAGTCAGACAAGAGAAAGAAAGAAAGGGCATCCAAACTGGAAAGGAAGAATTCAAATTATCCTTGTTTGCAGATGATATGTTCTTGTATTTGGAAAAACCTAAAGACTTCTCCAAAAAACTTATTAGAACTGAAAAATATTCAGTAAAGTTGCAGGATGCAAAATCAGCATACAAAAATTAGCATTTTTATATGCCAATGGTGAACAATCTGTAAAACAAATCAAGAAAGCAATCCCATTTACAATCGCTACAAAGAAAATTAAATACCTAGGAATTGCCTTACCTGAAGAAGTGAAAGATCTCTACAATGAAAACTATAAAATATTAGTGGAAGAAACTGAAGAGGACACAAAAATATGGAAAGCTATTCCGTGTTCATGGATTGGAAGAATCAATATTATCAAAATATACATACTACCTAAAGCAATCTACAGATTCAACACAGTCCCTATCAAAATACCCATGATATTCTCTGCCAAAATAGAAAAAAAAATCCTGAAATTTACATGGCACTGCAAAAGACCCAGAATAGGCAAAGCTATCCTGAGCAAAGACAACAAAACTGGAGGAATCACATTACCTGACTTCAAATTATACTACAAAGCAATAGTAACAAAAACAGCTTGGTACTGCCATAAACACAGACACATAGACCAATGGAAGAGAAGAGAGAATCCAGGAACAAATCCATACATCTACAGTGAACTCGTTTTTGACAAAGGTGTCAAGAATATACACTGGGGAAAGGATAATCTCTTCTATAAATGGTGCTGGGATAACTGGATATCCATATGCAGAAGAATGAAACTAGACCCTTATCTCTCACCGCATATAAAAGTCAAATCAAAATGGATTAAAGACTTAAATCTAAGACCTCAAACTTTGAAACTACTAAAAGAAAACATTTGGAAAACTCCCCAGGACATTGGTGTGGGCAATGATTTCTTGAGTAATACCCCACCAGTACAGGCAACCAAAGTAAAAACGGGCAAATGGAATCACATCAAGTTAAAAAGCTTCTGCACATCAAAGGAAACAATCACCAAAGTCAAGGGACAACCCACAGAATGGGAGAAACTATTTGCAAAGTACTCATCTGAGAAGGGATTCGTAACCAGAATATATAAGGAGCTCAAACATTTCCATAAGAAAAAAAAATCTAACAATTCAATTTAAAAATGGGCTAAAGATCTGAATAGACGTTTCTCCAAAGAAGACATACAAATGTCAAACAGGTATATGAAAAGGTGGCCAGCATCATTGATCTACAGAGAAATGCAAGTGAAAACTACAGTGACATATTCATCTTACTCCAGTTAAAATGGCTTTTATCCAAAAGACAGGCAGTAACAAATACTGGTGAGGATGTGGAGAAAATGGAACACTTCCACACTGTTGGTGGCCCCACTTCTGGGTATATATACTCAAAAGACAGGAAATCAGTATATCAAAGAGATATCTGCACTCCCATGTTTATTGCTGCACTATTCACAATAGCCAAGATTTGGAAGCAACCTAAATGTCTATCAACAAAAAAATGGATAAAGAAAATGTGGTACATATACACAGTGGAGTACTATTCAACTATAAAAAAGAATGAGATTCTGTCATTTGCATCAATATGGATGGAACTGGAGGTGATTATGTTAAGTGAAATAAGCCAGGCACAGAGAGACAAACACTGCATGTTCTCACTTACTTGTGGGAGCTAAAAATTAACAATTGAATTCATGGAGATAAAGAGTAGAACAATGGTTATCAGAACCTAGGAAGGGTAGTTGTGGGAGGAGAGGGGATGGTTAAAAGGTACAAAAATATAGTTAGACAGAATTAATAAGATCTAGTATTTGATAGCACGACACAGTTTGACTACAGTCGACAATAATTTATTGTACATTTTAAAATAACTAAGAGTATAATTGGATTGTTTGTAACACAAAGAAAAGATAAATGCTTAAGGTGATGGATACCCTATTTATACTGATGTGATTATTACACATTGTACGCCTGTATCAAAATCTCATGTACCCCATAAATATATACACCTACTATGTATCCACAAACATTAAAAATTTGAAAATAATAATATTTGTATTCCTTGGATATAGGCTTCTTGTTTATTTAATCCACTGCTGTGTTGAATATGCAATTATCTATTTGGGGTATTTGCTGCAATATGAGTGAACTTGGCTCAAGTGTTGCATGGGGATTCAGGTGTCATCATCTGGTTTTTTGAATCCAGAAGAGGGAGCCCGGGAGAATGTGTTGAAAAACTGCCTATCCTTTTGGATTCTTTGGAATAGTTGAGATAAGATGGTGATTCGTTTTGCCTGACTATTTGGTAGACCTGGCCTCCAAAACTGCATGTCCTGGAACATTTGAGGGTAGCTTGAGCTTCTAATTGGCTTTCAGTTTATGGATAAACCACAGTTTATCCATTCACCTCTTGAAGGAAATCTTGGTTGGTGATTATGTATAAGCTGCTATATCCATTTGGGTACATGATTTTGTGTATGTGAAGCGAAGTTTTCAATTCACATAGGTAAAACCTGGAAGTATGATTGCAGGGTCTAATGGTAAGTCGACGTTTAACTATATAAGAATTGTCCCAATGGCCTTGTAGAATGACTGTAACATTTTGCTTCCCTACCAGCAATGAATGAGAATTCCACATCCTCCTCCAGAATTTGGTATTTTCAGGTTTTTGGATTTTAGCAATTCTAATAGGTGTGTAGTGGAATCTTGCTGTTGTCTATATCTGCATTTTTATTGAATAATTACGGTAAGCATCTTTTCATATGCTCTTTTTGTGATCTGTGTATCTTCATTGGTGAATTATCTTCAAATCATTAACATATTTTTATTGGATTGCTTGTTTTCATGTTGTTGAGTGTTAAAACTTCCTTATTCAGGATATGAGTCGTTCATTAGACACAGGATTTACAAGTATTTTCTCCCAATCTGAAGCTGTATTAGTTCATTTTCACACTGCTATAAATAACTACCTGAGACTGGGTAATTTATGAAGAAAGGAGGTTTAATTGACTCACAGTTCCACATGGCTGGGGAAGGCTCAGGAAACTTATAATCATGGTAGAAGGCAAAAGAGAAGTAAGCACCTTCTTAACAAGGCGGCAGGAGAGAGCAAGAGAGAGGGGAAATGTCACACTTTTAAACCATCAGATCTCATGAGAACTCACTATCACAAGAACAGCATGTGGGAAACCGTCAGCAGTTGCAAAGATGATTCAGCGAGGATCCATATACATCACACCCAGTTTCTTGTATTATTAACATCATACATGAATATGATGCATTTGTCACAACTTACAAGCCAATAGTCATCCTCAGTGACTTTTTACTGTTCCGGGATCCCATATAGGATACATTATTTTAGTCATCATGTCTCCTTAGAATTCTCTTGACTGCGATAGTTTCTCAGGCTTTCCTTATTTTTGATGACTTTAACAGTTTTGATGAGTATTGGTCAGGCAATTTGTGGAATGACCCTCAATTGGGATTTGAGTTTTTTCTCATAATTAAACTGGGGTAATGGTTTGGGGCAGGAAGACCAGAAAGATGAATTGCCATTCTCACCACACTTTATTCTACCACCATGATTTATCACTGTTGATGTTGACTTTGACCACCTGGCTGAGACAGTGTTTGTCAGGCTTTCCCTCTGTAAGGTTATTACTTCCCGCCTTTCCATATTATACTTTTAAAAAGGAAATCATTAGGCGCACGCCACATAACTAGGGAAGGGGTGGCACTGACACGAATGATTTGGAATTTTTCTCAGTGGGAGATTTGTTTATTCTCCCCTATTTATGTATTTATTCACGCATGGATTTACCTCAGATGAACTCATGGTTATTTATTATATGTTTTGGGTTATAATCCAATACCACTTTATTTTGTTGTTCAAATTGTTCCACTTTTGTCCATTGGAAGCTCTTTCAGTTGGCTCTGGTGTTCCTTTCACATACCTCCATCATTATACATGTTTTTTGCTTTGCCTTACTTTCTGTCATGACAAAGTGTTTCAGGCTCATTTGTATATTTCCCGTTCCAGTCATAGAAGAATTCATTTTTCCATGGATTTCTGCTTCCTTTTTATTGGAGAAGAATACTAGAATCCTAGATGTGGGTGCTAAGTATGCTCATTGTTCCTGGGGAGTTGTTGCTCCTAGCTGTCTCATCTGACAGAGTAAGGAAATGTATGTGTGTTTATAAACCTGTACATATACACTTATCTATAAGTGTGTGTGTGTGCAATCCTCTGTATGTATATTAAGCTATACAGGAGTTCTTACTGATGTCTCCAACACTACTCCTTTACCACAAGGAGCTTCTAGCCTACTTCCTTTGTTTCTCTGTAAGTATCCACTCCAACAATGAGAGATCTGGCTCCTACCATTCTTCATCTATAAAAGTAGTTGCTCCAGCTGGGCGTGGTAGCTCACACCTGTAATCCCAGCACTTTGGGAGGCCGAGGCGGGCGGATCGCGAGGTCAGGAGATTGAGACCATCCTGGCTAACATGGTAAAACCCTGTCTCCACTGAAAATACAAAAAATTAGCCAGGCATGGTGGCAGGTGCCTGTAGTCCCAGTTACCCGGGAGGCTGAGGCAGGAGAATAGTGTGAACTTCGGAGGCGGAGTTTGCAGTGAGCCGACATCGTGCC